GTACTCTTTCTGGCTGTTGCACCTGTAAACATATGCAGTTCTGTTCGGAAGTCAGAGTGAACTCATAAATCATTGTGCCCTGGAACTCCGGCCGCGCAGAGCCCATGGCAGCGAGTGATCAGGACCGGTGGACCCAAAAACAATCGGCCACAGCTGTTCCGGCTGCAGAGCTGTGGATGATGCTAGGCTTTGGATTTGCTCGTCGTGCACCTCGATGCTCCTTGGATGAGTGTTGTAGTGAGGTTCACGTGTACGGTCTTGGGGTTTCCTGCAGAAAGGCAGCCTTACGGCCCTGCACGATTTCCTTCCGGGAACGGCTGTTCAGGCTTCCAACGGGCATTCTTTGGGCTTGCAGCTGTGCGAGGACAGCTTGCAACACGAGCCATGCGTATCCACGCACGAGTTGCATGCTCCAGTCCAAAAGCATGCGCTGGAAAACTGGAAACCCGAAACATCCCTTGTTGTTTGCGGACAGCATGTTGAGTTGAGTTGCAGTCTTGCTGCAGGCAGTACAGATGTACAGATGTCCAACTTGTCAGCTCTCAAATGTGCACATGCACATCCGCATGCAGGAGGACGGTATTACCATCGCTTCTGCTGATGCCTTAGTTCTGTGCTGGACATCACATACAGTTGCTGTGCCTGGGAGAACCGAGAAGAACATCCTGGCTGCCGCAAGGTGGACCATGACTCTTTGGTGGCCGGGTGGAATGCACTGCATTCCAGACAAATATTGCCGGGCTCTGTGCTTCGGCGGGTGAATGGTCAGACCGATGTGGATAGCATGGGCCAGGACCGCAGACAATCACATGACTCCGAGCTGTCTTTGAGAGATTGCTAGCCGGAAAGCAGACTGCAGGAGCTGGCGCAGTTGAAGCCATTGACGTTGGAGGTTCAACTCGTGAAGGACCAGGCTCGTAGCTGCACAGTCAAACAGCAAACACTTCTGGTCCGGATTCATCACTGGGACTGCAATCGGCTTGAGTCAGACGTTGTGTGCATGGATGTGATGTGAGCATTCGGTTGCAATGGTAGGACGAGACGACTGACAGCAATGTTGACGTTGAGTCGATGAGGCTGCGAGCGGTGTTCCCGTTGTCACAGTACGGGTCGCAAAATGACATGTGTCGGCCCGTCCAGGCTTGAAGATCGCATACAGTTGGAGCAGCAAAGTCGAGAAGCTGCCATGGAACAGCTGAGCATCTTCATACAGCAAGCAGTTACGACCGTGTCGAATCGCATGGAGGAGATGTTCGATGCACTCTGCTAGGTAACTGCGAATTTGTCATAGAGCTTTTTTTGGCTCTGAAGCTTCTGAGAGGAGCTTGCGCTGACGCATGCTGAAAGCCAGCGTCAACAGCATTCACAGATGCGAGCTCTGAGCCAGCTGTTTACGGATACCCAGCAGGCACAGCAAAAGCAGGTGATCCGACTAAGTCGACTGGAAGAGCTCCGAAAGGGCGACTTGCAACGCATTGAAGACATCGAGGCGGAGCAGAAGCGTCTCTGCCAATCTTTGCAACGACTCACTGAGGACGCTCAACATCGGAGCAACCAGGTGAACGAAGCGCTGAGAGGGATCGCGCAGGATGTCACATCCTTGGAACAGTTCTGTAGGAATCGGCGAAGGCCCTCGAAAACTGACACTGTGAACGGCTCGGACGATGGTGCAAGTATTCCTACACTTGTTGCTTCGGAACAGGGGCTTCTTGCTCAGCGCACAGCCCCTGTCATCAGCAGCGTTGCAGAAGATGGACCATTGAAACTTAAGACCCAAACTGTCCAGCCATCCTCTAGCATGGAGGTGGCATCCACCAAAGTCCGAACTACGGCCTCCTCAAGCCCAGCGAGTTCCCCTCGTGTGATCGCAACCCCTGCGGAGAGTGAGCCTGCTCCTGTCAATCTAGAGCCAGCCTCACACCCGACACAAGCTACACAGCCTCTTGTTGCACAAGCCACACCAGGCAGACTGTTCACACCAGAGTCGCGCAGAGTCTCCATGGACAACGGAAAGCTTGCGGACTGGATGGCAGTGAGCACTGGAGCTGCGGCTATGGATCCCCAGCACGGGCCGAGTCCCACCAGGCATGTTTGGCCAGCAGAGGTGCAAAGGCCAACGACCCTCTGTTCACCAAGATACCCCTTGTCACCCAGAACAGCGGCCCCAACGATGGTCGGAGCACTCTCTTCACTGCCAGGATCCAATACCCGTCTGCTCTCCCCACAGCGGTCGGCCGTGGCATCTCCGGCATTTCCTTCACCCTCTCGGCCATTGAGCCCTACAGGTTTCCACCTGCTGAGGCCCGAGGCGTCTGTGCAAAGCCCACGCTTGACAAGAATGGTCCAAGGGCCCTTCCCAGTCGTAATCGCCCCGAACTCTGGTTACACTTCGAGCTGGTCACAGCTTTCCCAGAATCAAGGGCCGCAGGGACCGCAGGGACCGCCAGCGGTGTGCGCCTCTCGGAGTTCCCCGGCCGTGCCCGCGGCGATGCCATCGACACCACCAGCCGCAGGTGGCCCGCCGGGCCCTGTCGGCCCTGTCCTTCCCGCCACCGAGCGGGCACGACGTGTCACGTCTCCGCCGCGGTCAGGCCAAAGTTGAGGGGACACGGTGGTCGAAGAGCCGAAGCACGAAGCTACGCCTGCAGCAGTGGCAGGTTAGATTGGACTGATCCAAAGTGGTCACCTATAGATATGTTTAGCCAATGATTCGTGACAAGGAGAGACTGCTCAAACTCGGCAGCTTAGCGCAACATCCTGGACGTTGCATCACAGATCTTGGGTTGCAGCGCGCCGTTCCCTGACATTTTAACTCCGATCAGAGTGGCATGTAGGGAGCTAGACATGACTGCGCACGGAATCGTATCTTGTTGAGGTGCACCTGCGGAGCGAGGCTGTCGGTTCGAACAAGACCTTCGAGCATGGAGCATGATTGTACAGGGCGAACAGGCCAGTGTTCGGCCACCATTACTTGTGGCACACAGTCTTCAAGCATATCAATCGTCGCAACATGCACTCTGCCGGCTTGAAGCCTGCGACCTTAGACCCTTTTCGGAAGCCAGAGTCCCAGACTATGCCGTTCTACTGATGGCAAGCATTGTGTCGCTGGCGCATCCAAGGCTCGGAACACCACAGCCGGCCAAAGTAAGTGCAGGAGACCTGTTGCATTCCTGCCGGACAGAGAGAATCAGTGCCTGAGAGAGATATAGAGATTGAGAGCAGAAAGAGAGAAAGAGACAGACAGAGAAAAACGACTTGACAGCAGCAGTGCACTTCAGTCAAGGCTTGGTTACTTGGTTTGGTTCGGCAAGGGGTTTTGGGTGCTATGGGAAGGAGGAGAGTTGAACCCGGCTGGATTCCCCACCCTGCCGCTGTGCGAATGCACGCAGGGGTTGCCACGGTGACCCATAGTGCCCGAAAGAAGGAGAAGAGAGGAGAGAAAGAGACAAACCGATAAAGAGCGGAACACAGTGACCAAGACGAGCAGAAGACGTTGTCCAGTTGGATTTGGAGTTGATGAGGGGGTTAAGACACCAGATATCACGGAACTGGGCTTGGGACATGTGCTGTCACCGTCTAAGTCTAAGGTTTGCAGATATCCCACATCCGCGTGAGCTTCGCAGGCGGCTCTAACCCTCAAGGCCCGAGGAAAAGACAGCACACAGTCAGCACACACAAACAAACATACATACATGCACACGTGCGTACATGCAGAGATACAATTACAAGCATGTTGTCATCCCCCTGTACTGCCCATGACCTTTTATCATGTCAGGACAGCTAGCCACATCAACTCCCGGAAGGCACATAGCTCGCTGGTCAAAGGCTAAGACTTTCCAGTCAATCCAAGGCCCGACGGAGGTGACGTCAGAAGCTCAGATTTAAAGGGGGGTTTCCGAAGTAAAGCGATGCAGAGTCATCCTGGATCCTTATCTCTCAGGTTGCCCTGCCTGCCAGTCGGCTTTCTGAGCTGGCGCAGCGCTTTCATTTCATCGAGCGCCAGGTCGGCTCGGCGAATCGCCCAGGGTCCAGGAACTGTTCTTCCGAGCTCTTCACATCTTAGCCTGAAGCTGTGGATGGCCATGTCCGGTAGTCAGTATTTTGATGCTTGTGAGTTGGAAGAGCAAGACTGTGATTCGTCGCCGTTCAGGTGGAAGCTGACACGAAGTCCAGGAAGCAGACAGAAGACTCAACTGCAGAGTGCTCGGCAAGACACAGAAGAACCCTATAATAAAGTTTGATGCACTCAGATATCGGGTAAGCTCATCGGATGTGTCCAGGTCGAGAACCTCTGGCTGGACGTCCACGTCTCAAAGAGGCAGTGTTCCTGTGCCAGGAAGTGCCGTGCTCCAAAAGCGTCGCAATGTGAGACTCGTGGCTGGTGCGGCTTGAGCTTCCTAGCAGCGTTGAGCAGAGGCAGATGTCAGGCAGGACTCAGACACAATTGCAGCCTCGACGTCCATCCTCAGAGAGTGTTTTTAAACCAAGTAGGTTCTGGTCGTTGCCTCCATGCAGGTTCAAGTGGGTAGCACCCAGAAAAGAGTCTAACTTCAATCGACATTCAGCGCGTAACTCTTCAGCAGCATGCAGCATGGCACCGTCCAACTTCGTCGGCTTGATCTTCACATGTGTCTCGGACTTCAGAAATGACCCGGGGACCAAACTCTTTTGAACACCGGATGCCATGGCCGGTCCGAGGTGTCGTGGGAGTCCGTGGGAATGCTTGTGATGTTGAGCAGAAGTTGGCGGACTTCTGGTACGCCTCTGGGCCTCCGCTCTCCGAGGGCGATGCGCAAGATTGCCGCGAGCAAGGAGGTCTTTGCACATGTTTGCACATTACCTAGAGCCGAGTCCAATATCTGCAGTACTTTCTGAGGCTAGTGAGTTTTCCAAGACTTTACTGATGAATGTGGCCGACCACTGTGTGTGAATAATTGTCAGCAGCATCGAGGGTTCGGGAGAATTTTGACAGCAGAAATCACGACTGTCCGAACAATAATTAATCTGAGCAGGATTCTTACACAGAGTGTCTGTGGATTGTGGAGATGATGTCTTCAATTTCTTGTTGGATTATCTCCTGCATCAGCTCGGAGATGTGAAAGAGGCAGAAAGGGAGACTTGTCACAGCGGCCTGGCCATGAGATGGAAGAATATAATCGGAGGATTTCAGATCTGTTTGCCCCCAAGTTGCCATCCACCGGATGCAACCCACGCAGCGAGCCTGCTCATACTGTCGTTGGGCCATGGCCTGTTAGATGGCGCCTTATTGAAGCTGGCTGCTTTGAGCTTCCTGTCAATGTTTCGCGCAGACGAGGAGCTTCGAAGTGACATGCAGCAGTGTTTCTCGTTTGAAGACTCCACAGGCCAAGTTGAGGCACAGACTGTGGACCTCAATTCTGGTTATTCCATGCCGATGGTGGCTTTTGGAACCGCCGGCATGTCAAAGACCCGCGAGGCAGTGGAAGAGGCCCTACGACTGGGGTATCGTGCTATCGACACGGCAACGCGTCCGGTAGGTGGTGATGGCTTCGGCTACGACCAGCAGGCGGTGGGACAGGCTCTGCTTGGGGTGGATCGAAACTCGATATTTGTCACTTCAAAGGTCCATCCAGCAGAGCTCGGCTTTTCCAAGACCCTCATGGCGGTCGAACGCGCCTTGCAAGAGCTGGGAGATGGAGCAGCCGGGTATGTGGACCTCTTCTTGATACATTTCCCGACATGCGAGCTTGACTACTGTCCCAAGGGCGGGGCTCTGAGGCCACTCGGTACCTTCGAAGACAGCTGGCGGGGGTTGGAGGAGGCGGTTCGACGTGGATGGGTTCGGTCTATCGGCGTGAGCAATTTTGACACCCAGCAGTTGCAGCGACTGCTCTCGATTTCGACGGTCACGCCTGCGGTTGTCGGAGTGTGGGCGGATATTTACCATCCTGTTCCAAGGTCCTTGCGGGTGCTGTGTCGGCGACACAAGATACAGATTCAGGTGTACGGCACCCTCGGCTTCGAGTGGTCACAAGGCCGGGGCTTGACTGGCAAGCTGGCATCACGCTCGAGCCCGCTTCTGCTGAACCCTGTCCTGCGCAAGATTGCCAGCTCCAAGAACTGGCCTATAGCCGACGTTGCTGTGAAGTTCTTCTTACAACAACGGATTGCTGTGATCGTTTCCTCTGAACGGCGCGAACGCATGGTGGAACTCTATTGCTCCCAAGATGCCCGCGAACTTTCCGTGGAGGAAATGGAGGAGTTGCACGATTTGGACGGTTTTTTGAGCTCAAGTTTGAAAATTGATGCAAGTCCCGACTTTTATGCGGGAATGTCGGGATTTGACACATCGGAGCTTCATACCCTCACATCACAGTTTCTACACATCGACTGGGACTGTAACGGAGCTCGTGCCGATTTTGAGAAGTATGGAGTCGTGCACTTGCAACAAGTACTCCCGCCAGTTGTTCTGCAGTCTGCCCAACGGGCTTGTCAAAAGATAGTGCTCGACCACGGTGGGGGAAACTGGGAAAACAGAGACGAGTTTCCGCCTGTTCTGTGTGACTGGACCAAGTCCGGATATAATGCTGACATCAGCATCGACAAAGTACACACCACGGAATTGAGTTACCTGTTTCCTGCCGTGGTTTCCATACAAGATATTGCAAAGTGCATCCTCCGAACAGAGGAGCCTGTTATTTACTACATCCTGCTAAGAGGAAAGGCACAGGGATGCAATGCCTCGTCCATTCCTTGGCACCAAGACACAGCCTACAACTTGTGGCGAGCGACTGAGGCTGGAGACTTGGGTGATAGCTGCTAGCTGCTAGCTATTAATTGTCAGACAGTCTATTTACAGGTCTTTGCATGTGCCTGTACACCCCGCAAGGCACGAGTTTATGACGCGAAGGCGGAAGCGGACATCCAAACATGGGGTAACCACACCGCCGTCCTCCACATCCCGTTGACGACTGAAACGTCAGAAAAGGGAGCGTTGATGTATGCACTGGGCTCGCATGAGGACGGACTGGACCCCCAGTTCTGGTCGCAAAGATGGCTTTTTGGCATGCCATTGCCACCATACGAATTCAACGCAGACCATAGTGCGGTGAAGACTATGGAGACCCAACCCGGCGATGCGCTGGTGCATTCAACCCTTGTGCATCATGGGACCTGCCCGAATGTCGGCACGGAGGTGCGCTGGCACATTGAAGTAGGCGTCCAGCATCCAGAGTATCAGTACCTGGATGATGAGCACCGGATTCCCTTCCCCCCCGAGCCCTGGCAGATTTGAATAAGCTTAGGTACTGCAAGCTACCATGTAGCGGCTCGACCGTCTCGACCTGTAAGGACTATTCCATGGCTTCTTTGGCGAGCTTCCTGAGAGAACTAAGCTTACGCGCCTGAATCCGGCTCTCATGGACCCCTGTTGCTTCTGCCACGACTGCAGCCAGCAGCTGGTGGGTCTCGTCATGTGGGACAAGAAGTGCCCGTTGTCAAGCTGTGCCATGCAAATTTTGGAGCTTGTCCTCGCCTGCTACATTTCTCATTTCATTGTCTGCATATCATCTGGCTCAAGTTAATGCCACTGCAATTTTCGAAGCCTGGCTTCCCTAGCTGAAACCAGTAGCATCCTATTCTGCATTGCATCAGCTTCATCGGCACCAAGCAGCTGTGAGAGTCTAGGTTGTTCTTGGGTATGCAGTGCCCACACGACTTCACGTAGGTTGCGCTTTCTTGTAGACTTCTGACCCTAATTATGCAGCACCATGCCGAAGCGCTTTCAGCGGTCGCAGTCAGCGGATGCTTCCGGCGTCAGAGTGTTCACAGAAGTAGCACAAGAGGGGGAGGACGCTGATCATCCCAGATCCTTGTCCGAGATTGCCTGTCCCGGATGGAGAAAATTGTGCGCCAGGAGTGTGAGGACGTGCTGACCCAAACTGCGCTGGACGAGATTCGTCAGCTGAAAAACCCGCCGCTGGCGGTGCGACGGACTCTGGAGGCAGGAAGCTCACCAGTCTGGTCCATACCCTGTAACGGAGTCGTGCCTCACAAGGTCATGCACATTGTCCTCAATGCTCAGCGGCACAGCAAAGGCTTGCCCGTGCAGGGCATCAAGTGGGAGAGTGTGCTCAGGACCTGGTTCGCCAGTTGCAAGGTTGCTTTGCAGCTATGAATGCTTTTGCAGGACGTTGGCTGCGGATGATTTGGCGGAGCAGTTGGAGACGTACGACATCAATCAACTGCGAAGGTTCTATGGTACCGTCAGAGCAAGCTAGCTGTCAACATCTGTCAAGTGCATGTGCACGTGGGTCATGTATCGGGGTGTCTTAAATGTTTGTTCCAGGGGGGACGGCGCGGAATAATTATCGTGGAACAACATCTGTTGACGTAGGTTTTCAAGAGGACGCGGTGGGGGGGGAGGGGGGGCGTGGGCTGCGGAATAACTGTCAAAACCGGCCATCTTGCAATTCGTTGTCAGGTTCAGGGTTTATGGATTTAAGGTTTAGGGGGCTTAAATTTGAATGTCAGGACTACCATCACATAAACACTACGGTGTTGGTTTCTTCGCTTCCCCTTCACTCCGCCCACGTGTCAAAGACATCAAGCCACACTCCCCTCGCATCTGTGAGCTCACCATTGATACTTCACCTCACCTTGATGCTATCGTCAGTACATATGCATATATATATATGTATATGTTATATATGTGCTCCGAGTACGGTCGACGCCCCTGAAGCAGATAGAAAGCCACAAGCCGAATTTTTGGGCTGATTTGGAGGATTTTGTCCTTAACCATTCGAACCCATCACACCTACTATTGGTAGGTGATTGTAATTCCCGATTAGATCTTAACATGACCCTATGCACAGCATGGTAGGCTCAGCCACCATTGCACGCCGCCAAACTTTCCCAGGGTCCGAAAGAAATCATGCAAATTTCTTGTAGACTTTCTAGAATCTCATGGATGCTATCTCCGTCAGTCCTTCTCTGATTTACCGTTTCGATGCCGTGTTACATATAAGACAATGACTTATACCGATCATACCGTGACGCGAAAAGATGTTCTGCAATGGACAGCCTTAGACTATTTCAATTGGTCATAGTCGTTTTGTGGAACAGCATCCTTCTTGGGTACTCGATTCCAACAGTTCATTAATTCCCGCCATCTCCTGCTGTTGTTCTCTATCCAAGCTAGCTTCACCAGGCTCGAAAAAATAGATGCGCCTACACTCAACTCTCCTCCCTTTGTTCCTCTGCTGAGGCCGCCTTCTCGGAAACACAGACATGTACAGCCTCACTGCCAAAACCGCGAGAGATGGAGAGCTCTAATCCACACACCCCGAACTAAAAGGCATGTGCACTAAAATCCCTTGACTAGTCCGTTTCTGTGCTTTGCGCGTGCGAAAAATCCCTCCGTGAACCCCCTTTCTTAAGACACCCCAAGTTGCCGGATGACATGGTTGCCTCATCTTTTCCATCGTCAGGTTTCCACATCTTGCACGAGATCTGCATGAGCCTAGTCTTCATCCAGCTACAATTCGCACAGCAGTATAAGTTCAAAGACATTGCGGCAAAGCTAGCCACTAGCACCAAGTGGAGTCGCCGTGGTGCTGACTCAGGATTTCTACTTTGAAGAAGGGCTATGCTACAACCGGCACAAGTCACGGTGCTCGCGCAAAATGCAAACTTCGAAGAGTGCTGGGCCTGCATGTAAATCAACATGACTTTCCAGGATTCTCTGACTGGCTGGTGTGCATGTTGAAAGCCGTGCAAAGGATAGAAAGACGGTTCTCACTAGCCGACCGTCGCCTTCACAAGTTTGGCCCTTCGGGTGTTTTTTACCCAGCCTGCTGGCCTGCGTCAAGGTAGCTTTCTCCGCCGCGCAGTTACGTCGGAGGACGGGCTGATTTGTTGCTGTTGAAACTTACATTGACATTGAACACAACGGAGCAGCAGCTGCTGCTGCTGTTGTTGAAGCTGGTGATGATGATGATGATGATGGTGATGATGATGATGATGGTGATGATGAAAAGAACGAAGATAAGACGACGGTTTTGGTAGCAATGGCATACACAAGATGCAGCAGCTGCCCACGACGGGGCAGGGAGCAGGCTGCAGGCGCGTGCACAGGTGTGGAAGGCGGTCTTCGTTGACCTGTAACGGCCCCAACCACCGGATTGTGATTTCTTCCGCGACGAGCACTGTGCCGAGAATGCAATGAGGAGAATGTTTATGGACGAGGACAGCGCCCAATTGACATGAACTGTGATTTCATGCATCAACCCAGTTGTGACAACAGAACACCAATTCGCCATATCAATATAGGATGACCTCAAGTTTTATAAGGAGTAAAAGCAATCAACGACGACACCTCGTAGTCTTTTTTTCTGAAATTGTAACAGTGCAGTCAGTTGCATGTAAGAATAGAATCTGCAAAGCAGTCACTTGCTGATCGACAGTCAGTGTGCATGTTCTGCGTCCGAACATCGATGGATGGCCAACAGCCAGAGACCCCTGGAAATATTGATGCGTAGGTCTAGATTTGTTGAATGTTTGCGGTTTTCGTTTGCCGAAGCGCAAATGATGGACCCGCCCCTGCATCCACAACCCATACCCCATAGCTCAAAATCATGTTGTACAACCACAGGCAGTTAGTTGTTGTCCGGTAATGCTGACTGAGGTCTCTAGGTTCGACAGTGCTGTTGAGCGTGATTGGGTTAAGTAAGATAAACGATAACACTGCTGATGGTAGCAAAGTCGCATTGACAGTAGTCTGTCGTTGGGGGGTTGAGGGAGCATATCCATATTCTCTGCATGAGAAACGATCGACAAGCACAAACTACCTTCTGAAGCAAGCATAGTATGACATGACATGACATGACGTGGCACGTAACGTCTTTGGAGGTTCGTTTCTGAATCCTTCTCGTGTGTTTGGCATTGCACAGACGAATGTTCTCGCTATGCAGCTCTTTCTTCGGAACGGCAAAGCAGTGTTGTGTTCACCTTTGCCGATGAAGTTCCTGGCAATCTCCGCATGAAGCGGTTGTATATTGCTAGGAACTGAAGCTCAGTCCCGGCCGAGTTCGTTATGCCTCACGTGCTGCTGCAACGCTGTTTGCCTGGGCAGCGAAAGCTGTGATAGAGGCTGCCCATATCTGTGTCGCGATGTCTGCCGGCAAGCTTGCGTGTCACTGCGAGGCGCTGCTGCCTCCCACACCCCCAATGCCGCCCACGCCTGAACCAGTGTTGGAAGATGAGGCCGAGACCGTGTTCGGTTGGGAAATGCCGGGAAGGAATCGAGGCAGCAGGATGGAGATGCTTTCGCTCGTGTCATCGCAGGTGGAAGTACTACCGGAGCTGCTGCTTCCTGGCGAGGCCGAGTCTCCGGTGCAGACACTTACAGCAGGAGCAGGGCTGGCAGCATGGAGATGTTTTGCAAACTGAAGAGAACCTCCGCACCAGGAGTTTGGGCGACTTGCGCGCAGGGCCATGGCCTTTGCGTGGGCATTTCAGGTACACCTGTCTGTGCAGCTGCCTGGCTGCATTGATTGAAAGAAGTAAGCGGGCACGGTCGGATTTGCCCCACTGAATCTTCAAAGACAATGCTAGCGAAATTGCGCGGAAGCTTGTCACCTAAAGCTTTCTGTAAAAATCACCTTTGCCAACGAGGTTTGTGGCAACACGATTCTTCGTGGGGGCGATAGTGCCTCCTGCCGCCTCTGTGGCTTCTTCGTTTGTGTCGGATGCCGCAAAGGCCCCACACAAAGCATCTTCACGACACTCGTCAACTACCACCATGCACGTTCGTTTCACAGCCGGCAGGCAACTGGCTGAACATCTCAGCTTCTTCTACGTCGGCATCCTCATCTTTGCAAATCGAGGTTGTTGCAATGCGATTCTTGAAACCCGGCCTTCATTCTGAGGTATTTTCGAGCATGTACCTGATTCTGGAATATGAGAGCATGCACACAAATGGATCTTCTGCAAATGCCGAAATGAGATGTCTACAGCACACCCGCATGTCTGTATGTATGTATGTATGTATGTATGTACGTACATGCATGTAGTTGGGTACCCGCGCGTGTAGTTTCAACCACTTTCGGAAGATTTTGAGGGTTCGGGGTTGGGGGGGGGATGATTCCGTGCTTTTGGACTTCTGCAAGCCCAAAACGCCCAAGCTCGACTCTTTCTCCATCCAAACCCGAAGCATTGACGCCCAAGACTCCGAACCCCGAGTCGTTCTCCATCCGACGCATTCGGAGTCAAAGCCGGCATGGTGACGCAATGGC